CCGAGGCTTGCGATCCCGTTGCCGGTCCCCGGTCCGGTACGGGGGCAACACTGAGGGTTGCGATCCGTTGCCGGACACGGACAAAAGACAAAAAAAAAAAAAAAAAAAAAAGACCCCGGAGAGTTACCTTGCCCCTTCTGCCCTGAGAGGACACAGTGAGAAGGCCCATCTATGAACCAGAAAGCAGGCCCTCACCAGACACCAAATCTGCCAGCCCCTTGATTTTGGACTTTCCAGCCTCCAGAACTATAAGAAACCAATTTCTGTTGTTCATAAGCTGCCCAGTTTATGGTATTTTGTTACAGCAGCCAGTAAGATGCGCATTTTGCTCTCTTGCAGCCTACAGTCTAAGGGAAGAGGCTGTGTTAAACAAACATTCAAAGTACCAAGAGAAATACAAGCCCAATTTTTTAGAACTCTTTCAAAGTAATCTAGGCCTTCAAATATGTTTCCCAAGGTAGCACCGGTAGGGGAAATTTTATCTTTCTGCACACTCCTAAATTTCTGGGGAAAATCTTTTTTAAAACATCTTTCTCCCACTGCTCCCCAAATCTTTCTGTCCCTCTTTCTGAAACATAGCCTGCAGAGCCCCCTCCTAGTTAGGAAGCAAATGCGCCAGCTGAGAGTGAGGCTGAGTGAGCAGCTGTGGAAGAGGAATAGGAGGATGTGAAGTGATCGCCCAGGGAGGTGGGAGCGGGAGTGGAATAGGGGGTGTGACAGCCAGGCAGCACTCGGGCTCGCTGACTGAGATCGAGGCATCAGTGACTTAAAGTGAGAGCAGTCAGCATCAGGCTACATTTTTGTTCAACCACAGTTTGCTACATAGGTGCAGGCACAGAGTAGATGGTGCATTGGATTTAGGGTTGAGGCTTGACCAGGCAACTAAGACATTGGCAGAAAGTGGCAAAGGAAATGAGGGGAATTGCAAGGCTGCAATTGTGGTGGATGCTGGCATCTAAGCTGGGTAAGGAGGGAGCGGGTTTATGAGTAGACTCAGAGGCAGTAAAAACGTGGTTGGATCAATGGATTGTAGGGACCCATAGGACCGAAGGATCACCAGAGAACAAACCCCAGAGGGTGTGAGCTGAAGAGGTAAGAGGCAGAGGTCAGAGAGCAGGCTGCGTGAAATTGAGATTGGGAGCGGTCCTGCAGAGCGAGGGCAGATGTTCTGGCCCGTGATCAGGGGACACCTGCCCAGGAAATGAAACAAATGGAGTCAGAGCCCTCTCCCACTTGTCTGCCCAAAGGCCTGCCTTTCTGGGGGCGCTAGTGCAAAGTTAGTTCCTATAGAATCTTGTAGGCATAGCAAGAGAGGTTTGTGATAGTGGCAAAGCGTTGTGCAAGGGGAGAATTTAGTACATTCCCAAACATCGATGTGACCCACACCCCCTTTCATGCCACTCAGTTCCCTGGATGGAGTCAGTCACCGGGTCAGGAGTGCTCAGGAAACAGAAAGTGGGTGGTTAAGAGTTTGGACCTAGAAGTGAAGGGTGTGTTTGTGTGTGTGTGTGTGTGTGTGTGTGTGTGTGTACACGCATGTAGACAGCTCTTCATAAGTTTGCTTGACAAGCTTCTACTTATGCTTGAAATCTTCCTCAAATTCTTATCTCCAGCTCCAAAAGGCCGCTCCCTTCTTAGTGCTTTTCTTTCCTTCAAGTGTAGCATTTATAATGTCATATTTTAATTCACCTGTTTATAGGTAGGTTTCTTAGGATAGACTGAGCTCAGCAAGGGCAGGGGACAAAACTTGGTCATTGTTGTATTCTGGGCACCAAGGCAGCACAAGTATTTGTTGAATGAATGGATGTTGTGTTCTTGTTATATAGGAATTACTTCATAGATTTTACTTTGGGACCACATAAACATTGTACATACTTACAAAATTTAATTAAATCAAAGAGTAAAAATATGCAATCTTTAAATATCAAAATCCTAATGAAAACAAGTGAACCTATTTATCTAGTTGGTGATTTAATAATGCAGTGAATTATTTCAACTAAATTGAAAAAAATGGAATTTGACTATGGTGTATATTCTAAGGAAAAAGAACACTGCAAAGAAATCTTAAATGGTTTCCAGCATTCATATTTTTAGTAATAGCATTGGTATTACTATTCTGAAACTATTATAACTACAATATAACATATGGGTAAAACAAAAAAATTTTTATTATTATTAAGAACCAAGATTTTCAGCATAAAAGAAATATGTAAATAAAGGACTTAAGAAAAATATCCTTAATCCTAAATCTGGATTGGTAATATCAGTATAAACTTATAATGTATTTTTAATTTAAAACGTTATTTTCCTAGCCCTGTTTTAAAAGTCTAGATTCAGTGACCTGCTCAGCAGCAATGGGCACCATTAGTGTCCAAACTGTGGCTTCTGAATCTATTCTCCATTAGAAGGAATCAGACCTTTTTGGGAACATGGCTGATTCCAGGTCTGGGGCTGGTTATATACAAGATAAACATGGAACACCTTGTCACTGCAGCAAGGAATCTTCCAAAGACAACTGAAGTCACCTCAAAAGAACTCGGGAGCCAACTTGAAGACACTCCCACTGGCAAAAGGTGGGATAACTTGAGCATCAGTGACGATAATAATCGCAACGATGGCAACATAGTAAATAAGTTTAAATCCATGAGTTCAAAATGATTCTTAAATAAATTTGGTGAAGGGCCATAATAATCATATACATTGTATATTGACAAAATAAAAATTAAAAAAATAAATAAATAAATTCAGTGGTCACCTTTGGAGTTTGCTAGGAAACCAACTCCTTCTTCAGACATTTGAAGAAGCATTTTTCAGCCTTCCTATATGAACTGTATTTCAGGGTAAGCAAATATTTGATGATGGGAAAGCTCTTTATTAAAGGACTCTAGCTAAGGCAGAGAAAGTGATAGAATATCACCATTTTCCAATCCTTAATAAATCTAATCGGTGATCTTCCATTACTGCTAAAACCAATAAGTGAAAAACGAATGGCCAGCCTCAACACCATGAGCAAGGAAACAACCAGACATTCTGTGGCTCCTGATCCAATGCAATAGGAAAGACACAAAACCACCTACTAAGTGCCCTTGCCTAGAAGTAGAACTTGACTACAGGAACTACAAGGGACAGGGAAACATGTTAAACTATACCTCATTGATGCAGTTAGCAAGATCCAGAGAGTGAGATTCCACAGGACAAATGCCCTAGTTTCTATAACAAATAAATTACAGGAGAGGGAACAGTGATCTCTGGATTCAAAGAGGGTTAGAGACGTGCCAACCAACCGTCATGTGTAGACCTTGTTTGGATCTTGACTCAAACAAATCCACTGTAAATAAAATAAGATAATTAAACACTGATTGGATATTTGGTGATAGTAAAGGATTGTTTAGAATTTCAAGTATGATAATAAAACAGATACAGTCTTTAAAACAGGAATTTTTTAGAAATTTTTTAAAAATTCATACAGGTCTCTCCTTCCTTCTAGGGGTGACATGATCGGGCATGAAAGCAACATGAGAGGCACTTCTGTCCTCAGGGTCCTTGTGCAGCATGTGGCTTCCACTCTGGGCAGTTGCCAGTCCCCCAGGTGACACCTGCCATTGTTCTGGTGAATAATGTGCTCTTTTGGCTTCCTAGTGATCTCTTGTGGGAACCCCGGGACTCCAAGCAATGCCCACGTGGTGTTCAGTGATGGCCTAGTTTTCTCCAGCTCTGTTGTCTATGAGTGCCGGGAAGGCTACTACGCCACAGGCCTGCTCAGCCGGCACTGCTCGGTCAATGGCACCTGGACAGGCAGTGACCCCGAATGCACAGGTGAGAGTCCAGACCCTCTGGGCTTCATACCAAAGAAGGAGGCTGCCCATGGGAGACTGGGACGGCTGGCTGGAGTGGTGGGACTTGACCTTGGATGAGAATCACATGAATAGCCTCTATTTATTGAGCATGCGCTGTGTGGCTGCCACTGAGCTAAACGCTTTATTTCTTATGCACATGTTGTTTGATTCTCACCACACCCCATGCAGTCGCTTCTGTTAGCCCCGTTTTATATATGAGATGACTGAGGCTCAAAGAGGTTGAGAATATTGAATGGCCATTTCTCAGGCTCTAGCCAGTTCCTTAGGCTTTCCTTTTCTCATTTAGGGCGAAGCCCCAGGGCTCAGCCTGATTGTCTCTTTCCTCTTTAAAGCTGCTGCCACCCACCATCCCTGTCAGTTCCTTCTCCTCTGGACCTGTCCCCACCCTGGCCTGGCTCCAGAGCGTGGCGTAGCCTCTCAGCTCCCCTTTCTTGCTTCTCGCAAGGGTAGTTCCAGACCCTTTTCTCCTGGGAAAGAAAGTCACTGTGGGGCCCAGACAGAGGGAAGAACTAAGATGAGAGAATCTGACAACATTCTGTCTTTCAAAGTTCTAGTCTGTGATTTCAGGCTCCACCTGAAATCCCATGTCAAGTTCACTTTCATTCTGAGACAAGAGCTCACCAAACTCCACCCTTGCTTGATACCACAGCATAGGTATGATTATCACGTAGGTCATAAGACCCTGCTTCTAGGGTGTTCAGACTGCACAGGCCACCTAGGCACAACAGCAGGTGATGAGCCTCTCAGCAGACAAATTATCTTGTGTGGTCCCTTAACTCACCTTAGGTTCTTCAACCTGGAAACCTCCCTCTGCCTCGGCCCTAACCTCATTTGGGAACCAAGCCCTCTGGGTACTTCCTCTTAGAGGGGTGGGCTTGAATTAGAAGGATGGTCTTCGTAGCCAAAGTTACTGGAGTGCATTCGGATGGTATGGTCAAGGACAGTGGGGACGTGGGAGGGCTGATGTGGGAGACTTGGCCAAACTTTAAAATGAGCAATGCCCAACTGAGAGCCTGGAAGGAGACAGGGCACCCCTGATCTGACAGTTTTCCTTCCTGGGTGTGTGCCGGGAATAATGGGGGTGGTACTGGAATGCTGAGGAGAAATGAGGTCTGGGCTGGGAGTAAACAACGCTGTATCTCTCTTATCCTAGTCATAAACTGCGGGGACCCTGGGGTTCCAGCCAATGGCCTCCGGCTGGGCAATGACTTCAGGTACAACAAAACTGTGACATATCAGTGTGTCCCCGGCTACACGATGGAGTCACATAGGGTGTCTGTGCTGAGCTGCACCAAGGACCGGACGTGGAATGGTACCAAGCCAGTCTGCAAAGGTGCTTCTGAGGGCTGCAAATGTGGAAGGGGGGCCAAAGAAGAAGCAAAAGTGAGACTTGGACCTTGAACATCTAGAAGGGAGGGAGGTGACAAGGCAGAGCCCTAGCATCTTATCAGGTGTGCAAGGTGAGAACTGGCCCCTGAACATCTGCCAGGAGGGAGTTAGAAGTTACCACGGTAAGGCCTGGGCCTTGAACATCGAGAGAAGGGCCGAGCAAAGAGAAGACTGGGTTGTGACACTTGAAAGATGGCATCGTAAGGTGCAAAAAGATCAGAACTCCCATAGTAAGAGGGGTCCTTTCTGGTTCTCTCTGCCTAGCACAGACTCCCGGCAGGTGCACGCTGCCTGATAGCACAGGTAGCCAGTGATATCAATGGTGGTGACTAGGGCTGGTTTCCCCGGGACAGCACCAGAACTCAGCCTGCTCTGGTCTCCCCCCAGCTGTCATGTGCAAGCCACCTCAGCTCATCCCCAATGGGAAAGTGGTGGGGACCGACTTCATGTGGGGCTCGAGCGTGACTTATGCCTGCCTGGAGGGGTACCAGCTCTCCCTGCCCGCCGTGCTCACCTGTGAGGGGAATGGATCCTGGACAGGAGAGCTGCCGCAGTGCTTCCGTAAGTGGTCACACGGGCCTTTGGTGCTTCCCGTCTGATGGTCCCTTCCCCCTCCCTCCTCAGAGCTCTGCTGCTGCAAGGTCTAGAGTCCCCTCCCTCATATCAGGGACAAAATCAGACCCTTGTCAAGACACTATTAAAGAGGAAAGGAAGTATAAAGGAAGAAGACAAGAATACCTTAACTGAGGCCTGAAAACAGACACTTTCTGGAAACACAGGGGAAGGAAATAAGCTAGAGATAAGGGAGGTGTGTCTTGAACTGAAGGATTAACTGGAAGGGATTGTACCCAAAGATCTGTGACTGCCAGTGCTAGAAACGTGCCTATCTTCATGGAAAATACCATGCACAGAAAAGACTTCTGGAGAGGGCCGGCCCGGTGGCGCACTGGATAAGTGCGCCACTTGGGAAGCGCGGCGGTGCTCCCACCCGAGGGTTCAGATCCCACATACAGACC